TGGGGTTTTCCTTAGCAGCAAATTATTTGAGCTTAGCAAGTGTGGAACTCTACACAGTCAGTCCCATGGGATTAGATCTCTCCTGTGGTCTTTCCCAAGTCGAGAGCCTAAATGTGGTGGGGGAAAGTTGCTGTATCTGCCTCCTTGATCTCCTGGAGGAAAGGCAGGAGAGAAATCTAACAAATAAATAAATAGATCAAATAAGGAATATTCTGCTCTAGTCTTCAACTGTCTGCAGCTCCCTCCTCCACCAGCAGCTACGGTGAAGAAAAACAGGTGTGAGGATGCAGAAACATTGACTTGAAAGACTTCTGGTGATCTGCAGCTGAAGTTCTTCCACGTATAAAAGCCATTACTGGAGGATGAAGAAATATGAATCAACCAACCATCAATTTTTTCAAAAGCAAATACAACAATTGAAGACTACTTGTTTTAGACCTCATCTGTTCCAAAGGAGCAGGAAGATCTCTTGCATCTCTTGTGTCCCTGTGTATATAGTTAGTGTCCAGTATACAGTATATATATTTTTAAGACTGCATCCTTTTATATCCAATGCAATCACCTTCATGGTTTTAAAGTTAAGTCAGGGGCTCTTAAACTGTGCAATATTCTAGCCCGTTGAAACGAGAAATGCATTTGTGAACCCCCTTGTCAACAAAACCTCAGGTTGAGTGAGCATGAATCCAGGCTTTCCTGCCCATTTTTCTTGTCCAAGTCCGAAATAGGCATTGCCCAGGCGAAATGGGAGCAAGTTTTAACTGAACGGCCAGCCTGATCAGGTTTAAACATTTTCTGCAACCTTTCTTGACGTGGCAACTTCTGAGCGAAGGGAAGAAATAGCATCCTTAGCTTACAGATGCTTTTGCGAGCCCTTGGCTTCCAACGCGATATTTTCAAACACTGTTGGAGGCCATCAGAGCGAGAGAAGATGCTTCGCAAAGGATGTCAGGAGACAGTTGTAAAAGCAAACAGAACACAGCAGTGAGCCGCTGGAGAGAAAGCTGCCACGTTTCTTAGGGTCATCCTTCAGTGAGTGAGGACGGCTAAGAGAGGATGAGACAGGGTTTAGCCCATCAATGCAGCATAACACAACTTCTGAGGGCAAATTCCAGGCCTAGCCAAGCACTGCTAATCCAGAGAGCATTATTCTGCTTCGGTTGGAGCCAAACAAAGCAAGAAAAAAACTCTCTCTCTCTCTCTCTCTCTCTCTCTCTCTCTCTCTCTCTCTCTCTCTCTCTCTCTCTCTCTCTCTCTCTCT